CGTAGTACTAGTACTACTAGTACTATACGTATATACGTACTACTACTACTACACACACACACACACACACACACACACACACACACACACACACACACACACACACACACACACACACACACACACACACACACACACACACACACACACACACACACACACACACAGAGTGGTGAGGGGGAACCGATGAAGGGTTTTCACTTGACTCATTTCACCAGATTACATGATCATTACTAAAAACCCAGACAATATTTACGTAATGTGTCACACCTACATCTGCGTTATTCAATCATTGACTTCCTGATCTATTTTGATGTCTCAGGGGGAAATCCAATGAAACAACTTCCTCTATGACACTTTCAATAGTTCACTTCTTTTTAAGATTTTGAAGGTACTCCATTACATTTTGATCCAAATAAACTCAGAAAGGCAAATTGTTTATGCTTTTCTTTTGATTAAATGTCCATACTGAGGTTCTTCTGCCCTTTACATACTTCCTGTTTTGACACTCCTTATTTAAACTAACCCAGTGGAAGTTAAAACCTTCACTGTCTGTGGGTATCATGATCGCTGTCTGGTCTGCTCCCTCGCCGTCTCTCTTTACCACCAGAGAGAGAAACCCCCCTCCCTTCCCTCTCATCTACTCCTCTCCCTGGGAAACCCCCCGCCACACTCTTCATGACACATTCAACCCACCTATTATATTGCACTGTGGGGGGGCCTGGCAAACCAAAACAATAATTTAGACCCCTTTTTACTGGAGCACTTATCTGCTAAGAGCTCACACACGTTGTCTAAGCCACACACTGAATGTGAGACTAAATCATCCTAAAAATAATTCATCGTTTAATTTAGAACTTAACTTTGAAGGTTACAACTGCGAGTGTGCCTCACAGACCAAATGTTTTAATGTTCATGCTAAAGGAGACACTGCACTTAAATGATCAGATTCAACCAGCCACATGAACGTTTAGTGTTACTCTACTCCTGTAACACATTCATTCTGGTGTTAAAAGATTCATAACAGTACATCATCATTTTTCAAGGTGGGACTCAAACGTGCTATGCTCACAGCCGTGAGAAAATGTAAAGTTTGAATGATCCGCTGTAAACTGAACTTTTATGTTCAACAATCTGAGTAATAATAGAGTCCGACCTTTCAGCCAGGCATGCACGAGTGTACATTTGACATGTATGTGTAAGGTGACATGCATATGAGCGCATATACAGACGCAATAACTCAGAGCGACTCGTAGTAACTCAGCCTGTCACTAACTGCTCTGTGTGTAGACAGAAGGTGAAAAGTTGAGCCTGTATTAGTATCCTTGACTTTCTCAGCCGTGAGGGTTTCATATGCAGCGAATGTAACTCAATAGGTCCATCAATTACCTCGTTTCCTAGGTGCCTTCACAAACAACAGCTGCAGAGTTTAATAAACTAGCCATGCAACTCAGTCACAGCGGCTAAAGTATCATGAAGCCTGAAAACCAGCGCGATGATGAGTAGGCTCCTCCTGTTGTCCTTGCTTCCTCTCTCCATCTATCTGTGACAATAAGCTTTTATTACACTTATAAAAAAGGTGGAGAATTCATTAGTATTCTCACGTCTCATTATTTCATCTGAGACTTCCCCGTGTTTTCACAATAACACAGTGTAACACGCCATGTTGCCTGGCATCGAGGCATGCTGTCGCCGTATTAAGTTGCTTTGCTTTTGGTAGTGGGACAGAGGTACATTTTTTCCATGGTAACTGGAACCTCATTCAAAACACTGTCCTTGAAAAAGATAAGAGAGCTCTTCTTTTAGATTGAATTTGATCTGGGTCGACACGTGCTTGCTCGGGTCTTTATTTACTTGTTTTATCTTTGTGCATATAAAAAACTATACAAATAGAGCCGGGGGATTAAAGGGTCTTCCCTAAAGAACACTAACAGGGGAGTCACAAACAGAAAGGGCAACTTATTGAGATGAACTTATATGAAAGTGTGACTGCATATGTTCCAGTGTGGGGTATAAGGGGGGTGGGGAGGATACTATATGATGAAGGGGAAAGGAAACAGAGGGTGTTTCCAAATCAAAACTTAAGATGGTGAAATAGTAAATGACATCTATTGTAACAAGATGAACTATTGATTTGCATTTTTTGTAGTGTAATATCATGTTGTTGAGTATGTTTTGGATTACCCAGTGTTGGTGTTTATCATTGTTTTGGTTGATGATTAGGGTTTTCATTTAGGACAAGTTACAAAATCTAATCAGCTCATTTTCAGACAGGTTTTTATATAAATGGATCAGGACAAAAAGTGAGCGAATGTTTTCTCCTGAAACTTTCAGAATCTCTTTACACAGAGGAGACACATGTTTATGTATGAAAGACATTAAAAAGTGGATTTTGCATAATAGGTGACCTTTAATATGGATGTGCTTTGATTTCCGACTACTCATAACAACAGGCATTGGGAAAAGTGAAAAATGCAGACTCAGATCAGAAATCAGAAATATAAAGTCTTCAGATGGGTTGGGTCATCTTACCCTTAAGATTAGAAAATATGTTGGTATGTAAATGTGTCTATGCTCAAAACTACATTGGTGCTAAGTGTTGTTTAGCTGCGTTGATAGGCAAAAGTGTTTATAACAGTTCCTAATGTCCACACTTGATTTTGTGCGAACCTACAGAGAAACCAGCCAACGTGGGTTAATTGGGTCAAATGTTGCGATGACACCACAGACTTTCAGACAATTAGTCTTTGAAGGCGTTCATGGTGTTTCACTTGGTCATACAGATACAAAATGAAAGAAGCAATTGTGTGGAAAATAAAAAAGAGCTTTTAAGATAAGTTTAAACTTTCCTTGTGTAAACCAAATTGCTGCGTTAAATGGGGTATGATGATAATCTGATTTTCGGTTTCACTGAGTAGCTTTGCCACCCCCTCCGATTCTGATGTGGGAGAGAGGACTTTCAGGTTTATTACATTTGGTCATATCACATTTACAGCCTTAAGTGCCCACGTTCACAGTCATGAAGGAACATGTCCGTCAGTGCAACAGTTGACGCATTATAGGATTTCTTGATAATAAGAACAATATGGAATCACTGAAAGCACCATGGGGAGATAAATGGGAAATGGAGGCGACGTTAAAATGATAATTTTACGATTTCTCGGATTCTGGCAGGGTTAATATTCCCCTAACATGACCTTTATTCTGACAGAAAAATGTAAGATTAAGAACCAGAGTGAAAGATATTTGACAAAGTAGAAAAGGGAAACTGCTCATCAAAAATATAAAACATGTAATTTTGTGCTCAAATTTGAAGGTGAGGTAGCAGGAATGCATTGTTTTAAAAAAAATCTGTTTGGGCATGTGTCATTTTTCCTTTAAACATAAGTACCTCATTAAACATGCGTTCAAAGACACAATGTGGTTGATGTTCGTGTCTTGAATTCGGCTTGTTCACTAACTGAAATGTGCTGGGTCCAGGCTCAAGGGCGTATGGCACTCTCAACTCTTTCCAGGACAAGACGGGGCCCTGCTTGCCAGTAGCTTTGCCGATATCTGTGTTGATAGGTAATAGATTAAGAGCGGTGAATCAGCTTAGACACAGGAAGCGCTCAAAGGTTTGTGTGAGTTTATCAAATTTAGAAGTGATTCCATGTCAGCCACAGCTTGCCACAAAAAATCTGACTGATAGTGTGTTTAACAAACTTAAACTAGCTTTATTAAATGTCAGGTCTTTGGCAGGTAAAACATTTTTAATCAATGATTTTATCACTGAGCACAATCTAGATTTTATGTTTTTAACGGAAACTTGGATTGAACAAAATAACTGTGCAGCTGTTCTTATCGAATCAACCCCTCCCAACTTTAGTTTTATGAGTCAGGAAAGAATGCATAAGAAAGGGGGTGGAGTTGCTATTTTGTTCAATGATTCCCTTCAATGCAGGAAGACATCTTATGGGAACTTTGCTTCCTTTGAATATGTGGCCCTTCAGCTGAAATGCTCCTGTCGAGCTCTGTTCCTAAATATCTACAGACCACCCAAATACTGTGCAAGTTTTTTTGATGACTTTACTGAACTGCTGTCTATAGTGTGTATTGACTTTGACCGTCTAGTCACCGTTGGTGATTTTAACATCCATGTTGACAACCCCCAGGACAGAGGGGCTAAAGAACTGTTTTGTGTTCTTGATAACTATGGACTGACTCAGCATGTGACGGAGCCCACGCACAATAAGGGGCACACTCTGGACTTAATTATCTCAAAGGGTCTGAATATCTCTGAGGTTGTGGTGACTGATGCTGCACTCTCTGACCATTACTGTGTTGTCTTTGAGAGCTCTATTTCTGTTCACACAAATGTTCCAAAAGAGGTAACCACAAAGCGATATTTAACTGAAAACACTCGGGAAATGTTTACTCAGAATTTTTCTTCCACCCTCGCCCCTGCTAACATCTCAGTAAATGAGCTAGTAGATCATTTTAATTCAAAAATGTAAAATCTTAAAGATGCCATTGCTCCAACTAAGGTAAAGGAAATGTCTGGCAAGAAAATATCTCCATGGAGACTGAACGAAACCAGACTAAAAGACTTACAACAGTCACTTCTTTCCTCCCGTTTAGTAACGTCCGGGACCACCATCTTTAAGCCAAGACTGTGACCCCTCAATCAATCCAGAAGCCTGCCAATCGTTGTTCCGTACCGCAACAAAAACAAAAACCCGTTAAAGTTAGGTTAATATTTTCGGTTCAGAGAGAAATATCTAAAGTTTCACTTGGAACAAAGCGGTCTCTAAACAAAAGCGGTGGACGCCAAAGTCGAAAAGATGGTGAGAGAAAAAAGACAAGAGTGGC